CCAGGAGCAGAGAAGAAGATTTTCAAAGAAATAATGCATTTTCACTACCTACTTATTTAGCCCCGCCCTAGCACTAGAACCCCTGACCCCGGGGCCATAAATTTCACAATTTTGGTAGAGGACTCATTGCTGATTACAATCATGCAAACAGTTTGACTGCTTGATGTCCAGGAGTAAAGAAGAAGATTTTTAAAGATTGCATTAATTTTAGTGGTTTTGGCCCCACCCCTCAGGCCCCAGGGGGGCAGGGACCATGAAATTCACAATTTTTGTTCCCCTTCACCCACAGATGCTGTATACAAAATTTGGTTGAAATTGGTTTAGCGGTTTCAGAGAAGAAGCTGAAAATGTTCAAATGTTAACACACGACGGACGACGGACGCCGACGGACAAACACGGATAGCAATAGGTCACCTGAGTGACTCAGGTGACCTAAAAAGCTTATGAAAATAAAATTAATTTAATACAAATACACCTACTATTAATAGGATGACAAAAGTAAATAAGAGTTTAACAGGTCGAGACCACTAGATTTTCTGACGTCAGAATAAATTTGCATATAAATTAGCTATCTGTTTACTTTACCCACTGATGAATGAGTCGCAATGCATTATGGGCTACTACAAGTACTCAGCTGTGTTGAAAATAAAGGCCAACTTGAAATGTCCCTTGGAAACTTATTTTCAATTCTTTTTTTTAGATTTATGGAAGAATTATATAAAATGATGTATAATCTTTCATTTCTATGCTCACATTTACAAAATTTGCTTGATGAAGCTTTATATATATCAACTTATAATACATCGGCCGAAACTATTGTTCAAAGAGACGTACTTGTAGGTGCTATCGTGTCGATAAAGCATTGAGTTTTTTTCACGTGATATACCTGTACATAGTTTTAGACAGCAGTACAAGGTGCGCTTTTATTATTTAACCCCTAAATATTTTAATTTTAAGATTTTAATGTACATGCAAACGTCAAAGCGTTTGCACATTATTCGAACTTTTGAAGCAACTATTAATCATATATATAAAACAACTCCAATATTAAATGTGAGCATGGAGCAATATCTTGGGAATGTAATCTTTCAATTTCGGACTTAAAAAGCGACAAAGAAGCTCCACGGTTTTTCCGGTGACGAAGTGAATATTATGCAGAAACCGACGAAAACCACATGTCGCCATTGAATCGTAAACACGTAGTAGAGTGTCATGCTTTCGGACTCATTCACTTGATTGGCGAACGGGTGTGACAAAGATATCGTCATGTGTTGAAAATTGCCTTCCATATTAGGTAGTGGTCTCGACCTGTTTAAAAGCCTTATTACGTAGGCCTTTCAACTGCCGCTAGGGTTCGCTGTTATGAATGATAACTCGTTGCAGAAACTTGTTTAGAGCAGGTCCGAGGTATCTAACTGTATACACACAAGTCAGTTTTTAGCATTTTCCATGTGTTTCTTTGCTGTCAGTAGAATGCAGTGATTTTAAAATTTAGCAATAATGATAAACTTATTTACTACAATGTATATAGCTGCGGACACCGTTTAATTACATATAAGTAAACTTTTTAATTAAAATAAAAAGTGAAGTCTACCCTCCTTCTTAGTTCTAACTTAATTAAATTTTTATACTCGGTCATTCTTCTTCGTGCTAAGTTACACAAATAAGATCATTAATTGCTGCATTTACTTGTAAAAATAAATATGTTTATATAGGAAGCGAAAAAGCGTGAACACAAAAAACATGGCATTATATTTTCTTCTTCATAACAATCTTCAAAGAGAGTTTGAAATATTGAATATAGTCTGTTCCCCACTCATTTGACCCTGTTATTACAGGTAGACTGAAAACATTCTCCTCCTTTTGGTCAACTCTTTTGTGTACAAAACAATTTATGGAACCGGTTAACCCTTTTGTGTACATAACAATACCAATGCTGAAGCAGCCTATATGTCATTCCTATAAACGATAACTCATAAATCGGCACTTAACTGGTCATATTTCACACTTGAGTTACACACCCGTCCTTAAAACAAAAAATCGTACATGTACAAGTCAGTTATAAAGAATTTAACTTTTTAATGATTTAATTAAAGGTATGCATAAGTTATTATCTTTTTTGATAATTTCATGTACCTATAAATCTATGTCTGAAATGTTTTCATCATATGTGCAACTTGAAAAATTAGTTAGGCCTATATTACCAACTAAAATTAAACAAGAGCCCCGCTAAGCGGAGCATCGTAGCTCTCGCGACAGGAACT